TCTCTAGATGCAGGCATTCTTGGGTTAGCTTTGCCTGTTGCATTTGGTTGCCATGGCAGCAGAAAAATGGGGAGAAATAGAAACACCTGGAAAACAGATGCAGAAACTTGACTGTTCAGTTTTCCTTCCTGCATTTGGAGATAACATTTCTGACAATCACAGGTAGGAAAAGTGGGGATGATGCAGTCTTTAAATCATTGAAATTCCTAGTTGTTGGCTTTTGGTGTGGTTGTTTTGTAGGACATTGGCATTAGGGATGCAGTGATTTCCACACAACAACCACGTCTTCGGCTGTCGTACTGCTGGGTGAAAAATGCTGCTATGTATTGAAAGGAAACTGCTGGTTGGAAACAGTAATTTTGCTTGTTCCTGTGACTTCCTTTCTTGTTCTCTTTTGCCTCCCCCTAGACTGAGAAGTGCTCAAATTTCTATTAGAAAATGCCATTGTCTACTGAGAAATGTGACTGCTTAGGAGACTTACAGGAGCAGGTAGGATGGAGGAGAGCTCACTAGATCACAGGTTAGAATTGGAGCATCTCTGAGACATATTCAGGCTCACTTCTTTTCTTGCATAGGTGCCTAGGTTGCAGAAGAGACTGGTCCAAGGCCATACATTGATTAGGGGACTCAGGCCAGCTTCAGTGCAGTGTTCTGAATTGAGGTGCAGGCAAGTCTTAGTGTTTTTTTCTTTTTTTCTGTACTATTTAGGCTGGTTTCCAGCTCCTGGGGTTAGATTAGGAGCTAGACCCTGTGTTTAAGAGGAGTTGAGGGGGAAGGAGAAGAAACACTGTTAAGCCATAGTTGAGTAATGAGGCCACAGTTGCTGAATGAAAACTCATGTCAGACAGCCTCCCCAGGGTTTTGGGAGTTTACAATGAGCGTTGGCGGTCTTCCTATGTCTCTTTCTCTGGGAAGCGGGGGTGTGGAGATGTTTCTGCCTGTTTGGAACAAAAATTTTCTTTTTTTCCTGATTTTCATTGTGCATTGCTTCTCCTTTGGTGGGTGTAAGCTCCTTAAAAAATGTGCTTGTGTTTGTAAGTGTATCTCCTTCTCATATATCCTTGTCTTCTGTCAGTACTTTGGCTAAGCCCCCCCCCTTTTTAATAGAATCCTTGAGAACAGAGAATGAATTGGGGGGCATTTTCCCAGGTTATAATGGTATATAAGCATCATTTGATCAGGTCTTTTCAGTAAAAGATTCCTAATGCCTTTCTTAATGACTTGCCCTTGATGACTCTTGACATCTTTACAGAATGGGAACCTATTCCACAATGTTTCTGTATTGTAACAAAATAAAATGTCCCAGAAAAGGTATAGGAAGTGATTATTGTTCGGAAGCTAATTGTCACCTTCAGCTTTCTGGAGAGATGTGCCCTTGGAATAAAAATAAACTATAGGTGGGATTTAAATGCTAGGTTGTATACTGGTAATAGTCACAAATAATGCTTTTCATTTCATCCAGCACTTCTTCATGGTTTTCAAACTGTCATTTCAATTCATGCAACTGCCTTGTGAGACGAGAGGTAGTTTCCACTGTATTTTGCAAAATGGAGTCAAAGGCTTAGGGAGCTAATGTGATTGTGGGGGAGCCAGTCAGTTTCAGATGCTGAGATCCAGTTATCTGGATCTTTCCACCATGCCATGATCTCCTTGGTTTGGGATTGGCTTTGGAGTGAGAAAAGCAAACACCTATTTTTCTTATACTTTAGAACTTTTCATGGGATGATCTCTTTGTGCTGAAGCTGAAGTTTTAGAGTCCATTCTTGGGAAAGTCATTAATCTTGCTGCTGGGACTCAGTTTCCTCTTCTGCAAAATGAGATAATAAAACTGACTTCGTGGGACTGAGATAATGCAGGAAAAGTATCTAGCACATGGCTGCTTAATAAGTATAGGTAGGCAGCAGTCCCTCTTGCTTAAACTTTGTGTCTGTTCCTTCTTTTGTGTATAGGGCACAGAAGGGTCTTGCTATGATTTCATTTCAGTACTTCTGTTCAGACCATTTGTTGAAAGGCAGCTGAGGATCCCATTAAACAAACCCACTTAATTTAGACCTACCAGAAAATGTGGCTTCTGTATTTACAACCTCCCTTTTTTACTATGAATGTTAGTATTATATGCATTTGTCAGCATTATATGTATTCAGCATCATATGATATGCAAGGAGCAGAAACAGCTCCTTTTATAGATGGAAAAATCGAGTCAGAGAGAAAGTCACTTCTTGCCCAGGTTCTCCTGACATATCCCTGGCAAAGCTTAGAGTAGAATCAACTCATTTTCCAATCGGACTTCTCCAGAGCGATTTTTGTCTACTTTTCACTTCTTCTGTTTGTTTCTAAGGGGAGGCAGTTGAGTTCAAACTCCAGCTCACTGTTTGGAATTTCAGCTCCCACCCCTCTAGCAAAATAATCAGCATTCATTCATGTAACTTAAACTAAGGAAAGTTCAGACCATCCCATTATACTTTGAGAATCCAAATAGCACAGAAACTGAGAAAATAGGATTTTAAAGTAATAGATTTTACCTAATGATACCAAGAGTCTTTGTGTGCTGGGGTTGTTTGTTTGTTTTTTGTCTCCTCTTCTGGGGATCAGTGTGACTCTGGGGATCAGTGTGTCTCCTCTTCTGGGGATCAGTGTGACTCCCTAGGGCATGTTAGTGGAGCTGTATCCCTTTTGAAATTACTCTGCTCAAGGTACAAGCTCTTCTTTGGGAAGGGAGACATTTCTTGGATGAGACTTCTTAGTAGTATACATTAGCCTTTGGACTTGAGTACAAATCAGTGCCTATCCAGCCAGATTTGCAAATGGGGAACACAACTGAAAGATGAAATTTGCTAAAGCAGATGTCTAGAATGTCCATGTCCAAGCAGGTGATGTCCCTGTTTTTAGTGCTCTCTGTGCAGGAAGCTTTATAGACACACTAGGGATGTTTCCATAGTTGATGACTGTATCACTTGCCATCAATTATATTATAATGTTTTAAGGAATCAAAATGTAGGAACATGAATATAATGTGTAGATCACAATTATGAAGAAACAAAAAAAAGTACCCATTCCCTCAAACCCAAAACAAGTACATAAAAAAGAATTAAAGTAAATATATGAAGTTATAAATGATTTTGCTTTGGGTAGCAGGATGATGGGGTCCCCCCACCTTCAGCTTTTTCTTGTGTTTCTCAAATATTCTATAGTAAGCTTCTATTAGTATGTGAAAAAAGAGCAAGTTAAACTTGATAAAATCTCAGACAAATTTTTTCTGTTACTGAATCATGTGTCTTGAATTTTAGTTAAGAGGTGCAATCATCCTAACTGAAGCAAGTTGGGAGCTCTTCTTCCTTAATGACCGACCCCCTAGAAGTCAGAAGTCAGGCAAGGCTAGATTCTGGGAAGACATTTTGGACTCAACTGTGCCTGGAGGCAGAGGTGGACAAGGCAGCCACTCAGAGGCCCTTCACATACCCAGTGTTTATCTTGCCTCACTAAACCTCTGCCAACAGGGAGCTGGCATTCTCCCTCCAGTGGGGAGTAGCAACAAAAGTCTGGCTGGGATTGGAGACTGGAGGCGAGACTCTGGACCAAGTGCCTGAGCTGATAAGGAGCCAGCTGGTTTTCTGCCTGGTGAGACTGGCACCTTCAGCTGTCAGACATCCTATAGGATCCAGTCCCTTGGAAAGCTGGTGGCCACTAAAGTGGACCTGTCAAGACCCTGCTCAAGGAACACAGTGGTCACGGTGACTTTTGTGAACTCTCCTGCGTAGGGTTATCAGAGCTTTAGCTCAAGGCATGGGAAGGATCACCTATCCTTTGAGTAGCCATAGTCTTTGAAGTAAACATCAACTTTCAGCAGTGGGAACCAGGACTCCACTGTTGCACAGCTATTAAAAAAAAGCCTAGTGAAGGACATCTGAGTGCTTTTTCCAGCTAATCTAGCCTGGATCCTCCAGCTCCATCTCCTCAGCATCCTGGCTCAGTCTGCAAAGCAGATTTTCTCTTTCCTTCAGGTAAAGTGTCTCCATTTTTGATAGCTTGCTTTATATCTAACTGCATGGATACTGTTGAGCAGTGAACAAAACCCAGCTACAGAAAACTGCGATTCCTGCTCTCGGGAAAGTTTACTGATCCTGGACTTGGCATCGAGCTGCTCAGGGATAGGTGCTGAATTCGTGTGGAGGCATTTGTTTATGCTGCTTTAAAAGACTGGCAGATGGAGGGGCTCTTTGGATGCAGGTGAGGATGGTGCTCTTTAGTGTCTCTTGATTGTCATACTGAGAGGTTCCAGAATGCTGACCCTCCTGGGGTAACTTGCCACCAGTCAGGGATGTAGATGGAAAAGCACTAGGGTCCTTCTCAGAGCTCAAGGCTCACTTCATCTCTCTCCTTTCCAGGCATGGCACAAGGGGGTTAATATTGTTGTTAGGTCTATTTTGGGGCAAAACATGGTGTTCTCAGAATAGGATTCTTTGCTGAGTAGTCTATTTTGGGAGGCAAGCCCCTCTGGCATTTATGTAAGCATCTCTATGTGTATCTGAGGGTGTGGATGTGTGTGCAAGTGATTTCTTGTTACTAATTATAAACAGTTTCTTTCGGGAGCTGGGGAAATGGAGGGGTATGTGTATGTGTGTGTGTGCATACATGCATATACACACGCATTTATGTATGGATTGGTCTTCCCTGCTGTGCAGTGCATGCCCCTGGATGGGGCATCTGTCACAGATGCTTGAATAGAAGAGTAAGTGTGGGGAGCTGAGGATAACAGGCAGAGATGATGTGTCTCTGTCTGTGGTGATGTGTCTGTCTGTCAGCCTCTTGGCTCCTTGGAGCACCAGGGCAGCATTGTGGTCCTCTCACTGCTGTCTGGAGAGGTCAAGTGGTCTTCAAAAGGCCAGCCTAGATTGTTCTGAGGCCAAGCAGCCCTTTCCAGTCTGGAATAAATCTAAACCTCCACTGCCCACTCTGCAGCTTGTCATTTATTCTGTGAATCTCTCTATGTCTTCCCTCAGGCCAAACCTACATATGTCGAAGCAAGAGAGAAACCAAAGACCGTCCAGCATGGTCAGTGAATCGTCCACAGCTGGAACCACGTCCACTTTGGAGGCCAAGCCTGGACCAAGGGTGAGCTCCTGGTCGTTAGTTTTTGCCTTCTACTCTTTTATATTTATCAAGCCCCCTTTGAACCAGAAGTCTACTTGATCATCACCATAGTTTTGTGAGGAGACCCATAAAACGTGTTTTCCCCAAAAGACAGGCCAGAACGTTAAGGTCAGGAGTTTTGTCCCTTGTCCAAGAAAACAGGTGATTACCAGCAGACCAGGAGTGATATATAAGTCCCTTTGCACATTCCTCAGTTTCCTGGCATGTGTTGTTCTGTAAGACCACATCCCTCTTCACATGCGGTGAGGATGTGTGTTAGAGAGAACTTGGAAGGATTTGGTGTCTGATGGGCCTGAGGAGGAAGGGCCTTCTTGAGAAAAGTCCAAAAGTTTTCATGTTCAGGGTGTGGGGACACTGACTGAGGTGTAAGAAAAAGAACCAAAATTGCAGAAAGTAGGAGAGCACTGAGGGGTGAACCTAGGTAGGTGGTGCAGATATCTGTTTGTTGGCAAAATCTGTATGTAAAAAGTAGCTTTGCTCTAGAAAGCCGTAGGACATTTTAGAGCCAATAGCTGTTGGTGAGCATTGATTGAAAAATCCTTTTAAATTTTTCTGTGACCCACATGGGAGGCTTGTCAGGTCTTGGGCCAGCTTTTTAATTAAATGACCATGCACTTGCCTGTTCCATTTCAGTGCTGCTCTGATCAAAGGGTGCTGCCACTTAGAGTAAGCTGACGACCCTCCTAATAGACAAGAGCTTTTTTGTGTATCTCCTTAAACCCTCAGTTGCTAGATTTTTATTCTACTTTTTTCTAGATCATCAAATCTAGCAATAAAGTCCATAGCTTTGGGAAGAGGGATCAAGCCATTCGGAGGAACCCCAATGTTCCAGTGGTGGTGAGAGGCTGGCTGCACAAGCAGGTGAGGGGGCCGAGGGGAAGTGGCTTCTTCTGGATTCTTTTCTTTCTGTAGCCTTAGGACACTGGGGACATGCACAGAAGCTTTCTGTTCATGGGTCTGTCTGCAGCAGGTGTGTTCTGACCACTGTGACCATTGAGTGATTATAGCTTTTTTTCCAAAGGTTACAGCGTCTCTTGCTAAACCCACATGACCACTTTGTTTTGTTTTTTTTTTTTTTTTTATGATCACATGACCACTTTGGCTTCTGCTAGTATTGGTTGCTCTAGAGTCCAGACCCTGGGTCAACTTCAGTCTAGCCTTCCTGCCAGTTCTCTCCCAGCACTTGTCTTTCTGATATTTAAATCTTCGTTATTGTTTAGCTGAAGAGTCCTAGCTTTTTCTCTCCTCCTGGTCTGGTATATGTTTTTAGTGCCCTAGCACCTCATATTCCAAATCAGCCAGACTTGGCTCATTGTATACGGATCCCTTACCTCTTTCTGTTTATTTCTTTTTCTTTTTTAACTTTTTATCGGTACCGGGGGATCGAACTCACGACTGCCTGCTTGCAAGGCAGGTGCTTATGCCGCTGAGCTAAATCCCCAGCCCCCCTTACCTCTTTCTGTAATCGCTATAATCACTCAGCACAGTGGTCGAAACACATCTGCTGCAGACAACCTGCTTTTTCTGGATCTTAGCAATGTGGTACCATTGCCAATCTTCCAGACATGTGGCTTAGCAATCTCACCATCACCTGCACCTCCTCCTCCTATATACATTCAGTCAAGAAACCTGACAGCTTCATCTCCCCTGAAGCCATCCTTCATGTCCATCCCCACCCCCAGTTCATCTGTCTTTGGTTCTCTGGCCATGGTGGACTCTGAGCTCCCAGGGCCAGAGACTTGGCTCTTTTGTCCTCTTCCTTCTCTTTTTGCCATTCATTCATTCATTGCTTCCCAAGTACCTGCCATGATCTGAGTGCTGTCTTGGTGGGGATAAAGGAATGATTAATAATCCATTCCTGTCCTGAAGGACCTCATTGTTTACCAGGGAAAGTAGCACATACCTCATGTCACATTGTCACACAGCCCAGTCTCTCACCTATCATGTGGTACTATCCCTGAAAGCCACCAAATGATGTTCACCTTAGGAAATTCACGTTATAAATCACACAGGAGGAATCTCCAAAATCCCCCGTGATGTCTACTTCCCTAGTTCTGTTCCCCAAGATAGCTCCCTCCTCATTTAGCCTCTTCTGTCAGATCTACCTTGGGCCCTACCTTCTCTAATTTCCATCCTTTCCCCTCATAGCTCTATTCTCCCCTCTTTTCTTATTTGAATAATTTAGCCCTCTAATATTTTCCCATGTCCATTCTTGCCTCCTTCAAACAAAGTATGCTCCTTGGAAACATGTTAGGAAAAGGAAGAGATCATAAATACCTTTTCCTGTACCAGTCTCCTTGTCAGGTTGTTGGCTTTCCTATAGCCACATAGGTCCATGCTGAGCACTGTGGATACCAGTAGAGCCTGAGGAGTCTAGAAGCATTTCTTAGGGTAAGCTGTGTGAACCAGGTGTGGAGGGCTGGGCAAGTGGGATGGATGCCATTAACATAGGGAGCAGAGTGATCCTATGACATTTCTGTTTTTCTATCTTGACTATGTTTTTAATTTTCATGATTGTTTAAAATGTTCTTAATAAATGTAAAGGCTTACATTTAGATGAAAAAAGACTGATTCATTATGAGGAAATTTGGTAGCAAAGTCAATCCAAATCTCTTTACATCAAATGGAAGGAAAACAACAACAAAATCAGTCCCTTATGGAAGAGAATTGAGCCTAGTTAAATGAGAACTTTGCTTCAGTTAATTAGCTAACTTACACTCTGTTCAATATTATGTGAATTCAGTTTTCTGATCAGCATAAAGGAAGATATAGCATGGCACCTAAAATAAAATCAAAACAAAACTTTATTTAAAGAGCTGATTCCTCTATTAATAAGAGACATATATTTTTAATTTCGTGATTTTCTTTCTAGAAGGTGGTGGATTACAAAAATTTGTTTCCATGAGACCAAAAAAACAAAACAAAACAAAGCAAAAAAAAAAAAAAAAAAACCTTCCAGTAATAAGCTTCTATTGTTGAGCCTAAATTTAATGTCCCATCCAAAGAATAGCTATTCAACCAAACATTCATTAATTATTGATAGAAAACATGAATAGAGGCAAGCCTTGCTTCCAGAATCAGGTTGTATGTTACTGGAGGGGAACAGGATGTTCAGATATTCCCTGACTGCTTTGCTTTGTTTTGCAGGACAGTTCTGGGATGAGGCTGTGGAAAAGGAGGTGGTTTGTGCTTGCTGATTACTGCTTGTTTTACTATAAAGGTGAGCTTGAGGCTCAGGCCATGAAGGGCTCTCTGTGTGTGGGGATGTACATAATGATTTCTTAAATCCGATGTTTGGATCAATAGCCTGAGTTAATCAGGAGCCCACTTCTTTACGAAGTTTTTACTTTTGTATATGTGGATTGTTGATGAATCCAGTTTTACCAGTCTTGACACTGAAAGGCCAAGCTCTTGCATTCAAGTGAGGAGAATCCACTTTACCTATTATTTAGGGTTTCTTCCAAGGCATCCAAAGTCCTTAGAGGATTCCATTAGGGAGATTGAAGGGTAAGTTTTCTACTGGAGAATCTAAAAAGTCTATTTAGAAGAGACAGAATTTGAGTTAGACTTTGAAGGATTGGTACAGGTTTGCCTGTATTGGTGGAGAAGGGCATTACAAGAAAAAAACACAACTTGAGGAAAGTCCTAGATGTGAAAAAAAGTAGAATGACAGACAGAATGCTAAGACAAAGCTGCTGAGGTATCCTGAGATAAAGGTCAGGAGACAGATGTGGGCCAAGACTGAAAGACTATCACAGATGGGCAGGGAGAATTTGGACATTGGTTTGTGTCCAGTAGAGAATTGGCAAGTGCCTTTGAGTTGGAAAGCGACAGCACCAACTCTATCACTAGGAAGTAAGAGACTGCTGGGTAAGGAGGAGGTTTGAAGGAAGGGGAAAATAGAAATACGAAGATGGTTCATACATATTTGTAGTTTTGCATGTGAGCTTCACTTTGCCTAGAGTACTCTTTCCCATCCTTGAAAACACGATACACATAAACCTTGACTTCCCCAAACTGCATACCCTTCTTGCACTTGGCTCACTGCCCTTTCTTGGGAATTAACAGGTTGAGTTAAGTGTGTTTACATGGCTCTCAGTTCACATGCTCTTGGGAGAGCACCATTGCTAGTTCCCTGTGATTCCAACACTAGCACATGCATGCACAGGGAGCACCTATATGACCTGGGAAAAGGAGCTGGCTATAATTCTTGGAAAACAAGGGAGCCTTAAATAGTGTGCTCAGGAAGGTGCCCTGAAGGTTGTTCTGTTGTTTTTTTCCATTCAAAGACAGCCGAGAAGAAGTGGTCCTGGGAAGCATCCCTCTGCCTAGCTACGTGATCTCGCCTGTGGCCTCTGAGGATCGCATAAGTCGCAAGTACTCCTTTAAGGTGCTGCCCTTCTCTACTGCAGCAATTCCAATGTAACAATCATGCTCAAAAATGCCTTCAGGAAGTAAGTTGCTTTTGTGAGGAGGGGAGGAAGTTCAGATGCTAGAAAATTTCAGACTCAGGTTAACCAAGGTATAAATTATTTAGATAAGAATACCATGTCACCTGTACTTCCATGTGAAGCTGAGCTTTCAAGACTCCCTTTTCTCTGTGGCTATTCATTTTGGAATTGTCTAAGACAGCTGTTTTCATGCTTTCTTAATACCTTTGTCAGCCAGTAGAACAAGTGTCCAAGTGGTGTAGCTGATGATCCCACAGCGAATTTGTTAATTACATTCTGAAAACCCATGCTGAGGAATTAGGGTCTGCATGTTGAACAGTTGGTCAGGTTAGTCTACTTTGTTTATCTTGTTGAAAAATAATTAGAATGAAATTATTTTCTAGATTATTGAAGATCCCTGAGCAGTGGAACCCCTTTCTACTTTGTTGCTGGGCCATTTATTTGGAGGGAGTGGGACCATGGTCATTTGAAGGCCATGGATCCTTTGATGACCTCTGGCATCTGTGTGGAGGGCACAGGAAGGTAGTACGTAGGCATGGACTTATGGAGTCCTAAAGCCTTGCTTTCTCCATTTGTGGCCTTAACTGCAGGTGTTCCCTCCCACCCCCAAGGATGGTGTGAGTGTGACAGATTGAAGATTCACTTTCCTAGAAGTTGAAACATAGGTCCCAGAGAGCACTGCAGCAAGCACCCTTTGGTTCCATTAGCCCCAAGGATTAGCCCTCTAAGCCCACTCAGTATGAGGTGGTATGATACACTTCTAGCTGGGTAGGGGCTACTGCCCCTGCTGCACTTGTCACTTGACTGTCCCCTGTTGGGGGTTCAAAATGAGCACTAGACAGCAGAATTCATCTTTTCCAGAAATAGATAAAGGACCTCGGAAAAGATACTGTTTTCTAGAAGGGTTGAAGGAGAGTGTTGGCACATAGTGACCTTGGTGTTAGCAGTTGGGCCTTAGTCTGAGAGACTTTTCCTAAGCAGTCGTGTGCACCATCATTTTGATCTGGAGTTTCTGGTAGTGGTGATGCTTGGAAAGTCAACTTCTCTCCCTGCTCCCTTTTCTTCCCAAGGGAGCACAAAATCAGCTTCTGCTTTTGCTTTGCTCATCCATAGGTTTGAACTATTTGTTTCTTTCCCTCTAGGCACCACCAAGTGTCCTGTCCCATAGAATAGTATTGCCTTTTATCAGTAAAACCAAGCACTTATATACCTGTTACCACCGTTAGTGCTCCCAAGAGCCTGTAAAGTCAGTATTATTGGCTTCATTTTAGAGATTAAGGATGTGAGATTCTGAAAGCTTAGGAAATTTGTCCCAAGTCACAAAGCTGGAAAGTGATACAGGTCCTGAATTGTATTTCAAGGAGGGCGACAACTTCTGTTCTTCCATGTCTTATCTCGTCCACTTCCTGAACACTGCAGGAGGCTTGGGTGATTTGAGTAAATGCTTACTGTATCATTTGGGAACTGTCTTCTGTAGAACTCACTAAAATAATTTTTAAAATATTTTTCAGGCTTAGCTTTTGCAGGCTGAATTACTCAGAACTGCCCCCCGCCTTTCCTGGTGTTTGAGAATTGCTATTAAGCAAGCAATTTGGCTAACAATGCTTCTTGTGATTGGGGGGACAGCATCTGGAATATTCTCAAAGTACTTTGTATCTATCTTTGTATAATTCATCTTAACACTTCACTAGGAGGTGTGAAAATAGATTCTAAGAAAACATCTTTTATATATTTTAGATTCATTACCCCCCAGTTTTCCTTAGAAAGACTTTACCAAGAATGTGCAATAAATCTTGTCTGTCTAGAAGGTGTCATATGTTTGGAGTCCTCAGGTTCTGATAGTAGTGACAGATTTGCAGACAGCTGAAAGGTTCTAGAGATCTGGCCCTTTCTGGCCTCACTTCATGCTGGCTCCCCTCTTTCTCTGTGCCAGTCACACTGGTCCCATCTTTAAGGAGGAAAATACTGTGTTTTTGTCCTTGGGATCTTAGCATCACCCCCTGTTGTTCGTAGGATAGCCGCTTATCATGTGGAAGTCAGCTTGAATGTGGGCTTCTCAGGTCAGTGTTCTCTGGGTCAGGCTGTGTTCCTGTCCCTCTTTCACAGCATCTTGACCCTTTCGATAACACTTACTGTCATGGTAGTTACCTGTCTGTGACTTTTCTTCTACTTGCCTATAAACTGTCATAACTTTATTTAGGACTGTCCCTTTAACTTCTAGTACTTCTACCTGATAAGCACTTAATAAATGGTAAATTATTATGAAGTGAATAAGTTGAAGGATGCATCATGTCAAGTATTGTGGTGTACACTTGTAATCCCAGCACTTGAGAGGCTGAGGCAAAAGAATTGCCATGAGTTTGAGGCCAGCCTGGACTACATAGTGAGTTCAAAGCAATTTAGGCCACATAGCAAGACCCTGTCTTTAAAAAAAAAAAAAGAAAAAGAATGCATCAGACAATAGATGGCCCTGTATTTCCCACCTGGTTTTTCTGTACTGAAGTCTGACTTGGGGAGGGATGATTCTGGTTTCCTTTTCCAGTGCCATGTCCAGACCCAGCATCTAACGGCCAGCACAACAGTTGTCCTCGGGACACTTTTTTTTTGACGTAGGTAAATGTTTTCTTGTTCATGTCACTTGCTTTAGGTGTTATCTGGTTTCTATTCAGTCATGTAAATCTGTATAGTGGGATTGTGTTAACTGAAAAGCAAAGAGTTAGAGAGGAAGGAACCATCTCTAAAGTGAGACTAGGGCAAGGGTGAGAAGACTTCATATCACCTGAGCCCTCTCATCTTCCTTACTCATTCTTAGAGCACTTTGAGCTTGGGTCCTTTGGCCAGATGGAAAGGCAACTCCCTGGACTTCTTGTCTTCACAGTTAATGTATCTGTCTCAGCACAGTCAGAATGCAGCTGGGAACCTGGTCTTCAGAGTCCAGAGCAGCTGCTTGCACACCTGTTGGTGGCTGGGTTAATGAACAAAATTGTAGTTAGAATCATGTGTGACTCCCCTCTATGATGATGGTGGCTGCAATTCCCAAGGCTTATTTGGAAACAGGCTTGCAGATTCATGCTTCTGTGCTTGGACTATGTCCTGAGTTTATTTCTGGATGAGGTTAGCTCCATGTGTTCTCAGGGACTTTCTTCATTGTGCTTATTCAGACCTTCTTTGACTAGGCAGAAGATGCTGTGAGGGTATGACCAAGATCTTATGAGGACATTGCCTTGGGAACTTTTCCAAGAATTTTTGTTGATTCATAGTAAGATGTGCACAAGTTTTTTCTTAGTGTCCTCGTATTGCAGCATTTACAAGATACTGCACCTTGCTAAAATAGGAGGAATACTGCTGGGCCTATAGTCCATATGTGAGGTATGCAAAAGAAGGGTATGAGATTTCTTTGCTCGCTCTGGGGACCTTCAGTACAGGCTGTGTTTGTCTAGACTTCTTTAGCCCTGAACTGGATAGACTCAGGCATGTAGATTTCAGAAGTAGGCCTGTATTTTATAGGCATTCTAGACCTGAATGCTTAGGATAGAGGGAGAAATAAATAGTGAAGTTTCACCTCAGGCATTTCATTCCTTCCATTCTAAAAGTATGTCATTTTCCAGCTTTTTACTGGTTTTCTTGTTTTTTCTGACTGATCTTGGTGGGATCTGCCTTTTATCATGGATCCTGTTTATAGGATCTATGTGTATTTGCCCTCATTTCTGGATAAGGCCTGCAAAAAGCATTGTACAGAGCAGCCAGGACTTGGAGTCAGACCTGAACTCTATAGTTTTTCATTCATTCAACAAAATCTATGAAGTACCTACTATGTGCCATAAACTGTTGGTGGGGAAATAGATGTGAACGAGAGAGAAAACATTTCTCATGGCACTTTTATTCCAGAAGGAGAGGAGAAATGATAAACCAGGTGATAAGCAGGTACATAAAATAAATAATATCAGTTACTGGTAAATGGTGTGAAAAATTTGTTACTGTATGTGCGTATTTTTGAAAGTTATTTTGTATTTCAGAGCTTCATTAGCACATCTGTAAAACAGAGATTCTGCCCCTACATTTTAAGGCTGTTGGCATGAAAATGAGATTTAAGCCTTGGTGTAGTACTCAGGAGACACATCAGGGTGTCACAGGCACCCAGTAAATCTTCCTATTTCTACACTGTCTTCCTGTGTAGCTTGAGTGAGATCTTCTTACAAATTTAAAAATTACAGAGGGGAAAACTGGTTCTGCCTCTGCTTTGGAGACCATCTTAGTCACTTTCTCCATAGTCACTCCCAGAACCTCTTCCAAGGTGCTTTACAGACACACATGGACATGCAAATTGATGCAAAGGTACATAGTAAATTTGTTAAATTGTTTAATCTAATGTTGTATAGCCCTGTCCTAACTAGTATCTTGTTTTAGAGAGATAGTGTAGCAGCATCTTTGATAAACACACATTGCATTTCATGCTAGGAAGTTGAAACACGCTGAACACTTGTACCAAGCCACATGCTATTGCAGTGGATTTTGACTCAATTCTTACCTGATTTTAGCCAAATCAGGAATTGCATGCCTCAGAGGAACCAAAATAGATACTCTCAAGAGTATGCTTCTACAGAATGAAAGTTTTTTAAAAAGCTTATCTATTCTGCTGGGGATATAGCTCAATAGCATAGTGTTTGCGTAGCATGCAAGGCCCGGGTTTGATCCCAAGCACGATACACACACAAAGTCTGTTTCCTATCAAGACCTTGCCTCTGTGTCCCACCCTAGGCACAGGGAACAGGTACAGTTGCAGGGCTTTGCTTGGGGGTAACAGGCATAGCTGTCACTGGGCCTATCTACAAGAAAATGGAATCTAGCCCATGACATTTTTTACATGTGGAGATAAGCTGGCTAGTGTTGGAGTTTTAGTCTGGCAGGAGGAGAGCATGACCACTGTGCCTTCTTGTTTCCCAGAAAGGAGAGATGTGCTGATGTCTGTCCTGGCTTTCTATTTCTACACTTACAGGCTGTGCACACAGGGATGCGAGCACTCATCTACAACAGCTCCACGGCAGGCTCCCAGACTGAGCAGTCAGGCATGAGGACCTACTACTTCAGTGCTGACACCCTGGAGGACATGAACGCTTGGGTGAGGGCCATGAACCAGGCCGCACAGATGCTATCTCGATCATCACTGAAGAGGTCAGTCCTACCAGGGGATCCCAGATAAATCCTCTGACCTTCCATTTTCTCACTGGTAGTAAACATTCCCTTCTCTTTCCAATACTTTTTAATGAGGAGTGCTTCCAGCAGGAGAATATATAACTGACTAATTAGTGTTGTTTGCCCCAGCTGGAAGCTCCTTTAGATGCTATCTAGTCCTCTTTCTTTACAAATACAGAAACATTACAGGCCCAGGAGGGTGGCCTGACTGCACCATACACTTAGTTTTGTTTTGTTTTTCTTTCTCTTGGGTAGAGAGGGAAAGGACATTTTGGGATAGAAGGGAGAAGGGGAAAAAAGTCTTGCCAACTGAAGATGTACTACACCTGTCTTCCATGTCCTGAGGGTTGTGAGATTCCAAGTCTGTTGTTTATAGATTACTGCCTGAGAAAACACCATGCAGAAATAGGTTAAGGGGCTCTGAGACCCTAGGGACACTCAAAAAATCAGCATGTGCATTTAGCTGTCGTGTACCTCATTTGTCCCTGTTTAATTCCTTGCTATGGAGAGAAGTCATTTTCACAGTGTTCCTTTAGGGAGACCTCAAAACGAAGAGCAAGCCAGGTATGGTACATGCCTGTTATTCCAGCACCTGTGAGGCTGTGCTGGAAGATACTGGGGCTACAAAGTGAGTTCAAGGACAGCTTGAACCACAGAGTGAGACTCTGTCTCAAAAAGGTGACAAAAAACCTGAGGGTGTATTCTCCTGCAGCTGAAGGGATACAGTGTTTCACTGAGTGGGTTCAGAGTTTAGAGGGTATAGTTTATCTTGTTGACCTTTTCACACTTCTTTAATTTTTGGTTCTTCCTAGCTTAGTGCTGTCTTTCTTTTTTTCTTCTTCTTTACAGCTTTCCTAAGGAAGTGCTGTCTTTCTTGAGGCAGATATACCATTGCTTTAGATAGTGGTCTTCTTCAACAGACCATGTAGGTTCAGGCCCTACCCTCCAGAGTTTCCATAGCACTTCAGTCCAAACATATCTGTGATGATCTCAAAGCTTCTCCCAGTAGTCTTCTGGTGTCTATTTAGTGTCATTGCATTTCCTTGGTCACCCAAGGAGGAAGAAACTGAGTGGTTTTTGATACATCTTACTCTTAGGCCACATGTTATTTCCTCATTGTCATTATTTTCCAGTCTTCACTTTTCATTCTTTGGATGAACGAGTGAATAAATAATACAGTAAATTAAGATATCCTTAATGTAAAATAAATATTTTCTTGTGTCCTGCGTTAGCTTTTCATCACTATTACAAAATACCTGAGAAAAGCATCTTACAGGAAAATTTATTTTGGTTCATGATGTCAGAGGTTTCAGTCCATTGTCAGCTGGTTGTATTGCTTTTAGAAAGAGAAGTATCATGGCAAAAGGGCATGGTGGAGCAAAACTGCTCATCTCATGGCATCCAGGAAGCAGAGACAGAGAGGACGGTGTTAGGGACAAGATACACCCTTCACAGGTATGCTCACAGTGGCCTATTTTCTCCAACTGCACCATACCTCCTAATAGTGCATTTTGCTACCAACATCACCTTATTAATCCACTGATGAGGTTAGTATCCTCATAGTCCAGTCACTTCTCTAGGCCCCTTCCTGTGAACATTGCTGCACTGGTAATTAAGTCCTTAAAGCATGAATCTTTGAGGAAATACTTCATATTTAAGCCATAACATATCCCAACTTTGCTCAGCTCATTATGTCTGGCTAGCATACTAGGTAAAAGGAAATTTGAGAGTGACATTGGCCTTACCAGGGAGAGGTTGTGTGATTGATAAATAACATCTACCTAGACTCTTGAAGATCAATCTACTTAGCCAATATTGGATTAAATAAAAAAACTCTACCTACCTGAACAATTTCTAGTTTGCTATCATAATTTTGGTTCTGGAAAGAATTATTTCTTTTTAAGTTCTCAAGCTATTGTATTTTCTCTAACTTTTATTTGCACTTTTGAAACTTCGTATTTTGCTCTTAATAAATTCTTAACATCCCATGATCATGTTTACTCAAGTTTCCTTTCCTTTCAAAAAAGAAAGACAAGGGCCAGGGATTTAGCTTAGCGGCATAAGTGCCTACCTTGCAAGCGCATGGTCATAAGTTTGATCCCCAGTATAAAAAAAAAAAAAAAAAGAAAAGAAAAAGCTTATCTTACCTTCTGAGTAAAAATAAAGACATTTTGAAATTGTCAGCCAAGCAAATACAGATTTATGTTCTGTTTTTCCAGAATAAGATGTTTAGACATTTGGTTAGTTAAAATAATTTGTCAGACAGAACTAAATCCTCTCCTCCAGCCTGGTGATGTGCATTGTAAACTTCTTTCACTGTAAGTAGGCAGCCCCAGCAGTAGTTTTTATCCTCTCTGTCTGCATTTCTCACTCAGATCCTTATGTCCTCATTCATACAAGCATATGCTTTCTTTATGAGTGATGGTAAATAAGCATTTTGTTCTTGTTGTTTGTTTTTGTTTTTTTGAGACAGGGTCTCACTATGTAGTTCAGTCTGAACTCACTGTACAACTCAGACTGGTCTAGAACTTGTGGCAGTCTTTCCAAGTGCTCAGCCTCCCAAGTGCTGGAATTATAGGTTTGCAGCATTACAACTGGCATATCACTATGCTTGATTGAAGGTGACAGGAAATACTAACAAACTTATCTTAAAGGCAAGCTTTATTGTTTCAGGTCACTTAAAAAGTTTACAATGTATCTGGCTTTAGAACAGCTGAGTTCAGAGCTCCAATAGTGTCTTTTTAAATTCTTCTCTTAGATTCCATGTTCTGCCCATGTTAGGTTGGGATTTAGTCTTAAGCTCCATAAGGATGTTCCTGGTATATCTGGGATCTGGTGGTGAAATAGCTGTAGTGACCGTAGACTGGTGCCATCTAGGTTGAAGTCCAGCAAGAAAGAGCCAGAAGTTCCCAAGTCACATTTATACTCTACACTGTCTACTGTGGCTGGGGAATGCACCGTCCTGATTGGCACACGTGCTTCACTCCAATAACAGGGGTAGCGCCCCTCCCAGACTGTGGGGACTGAGAGTGAGGTGGGGTAGGTTCCCAAGGAAAAGCTATGGCAGAGGACCCAGTAATAACTTGGATGAGGATGAAGGGAACAGCAAGAACCAGTGGCAAATTGGACCAGTTGTCCTCTCATTACCTACTGTGTGTTTATTTGCCTTAAATAGCTCCTCCAAGAGCTTGAGTTTCTGAAACTAGATAAACCTGCATTTAAGTCCTGGCTCTGCTGCTTTCTAGCTGTGTCATATAAATGACATACGTTTTTTGAACCTGAATTTTAAAATTATTTTCAGAGGATCATTACGAAGACTAAATAAATGAATGTATAAAGTGGTTACTTAGCATAATGCTTGATATGTAATAGGTACCCCATATCAGAGGCACTGGCTTCCAGGGTGTTTGGCTTCATAATATCACTGGTCCTTTTTTAGTCGTCTGGCTCTCATTAATTGTGAGTCTCCTGTGAGAGCGTTGCACTTTGTCCTTTGCCCAGCGTGCTCATCCCATAACAGTGTGTGAGCTCTGATTCAGCACCTGAGGCTCTCCACAGTACCACCTCTCAGCCTACATCCTGCTCTTCTGCTCCTGTCTCCTCAGCCACTTCCTGCTGAATTCCTCTGGCAGGAGCAGAGCTGGGAACCTTCTGTTTGCCTTCTGCCTTTGTTTTTTTCTGCACAGGCTTTGCAGTCCCTACTCCACCCCATGTGCTATAAGGGACACTAAGCCTACATTCTACTTCCTGTCCATCATCTCTTTTTTCCCATGTCCCTATTCTGCCACTTGCCAGACTCTGGACTCTGTTTTGATTTCCAACAGGTTTGACTAAGCTGAGGATGCCTTTCTTTTCCTCTCTAGCAAACTAAAGCACTAAGCAAGGCAGTCTTATTTGCATTTCCAGATCTCAAAACTGGTAACTCAGGAAGGCATTTCACTCTTTTCATAGTTGCCACACTTTTCTACTGGTACTGAAATCCTGTTTTGGGACTGGAGGAATGTATAGTCTAGTTCATCTTCAGAGTAAAATCCTGGGCTTTTAAATCCCTGCATGGGTATTGTTCCTGTACACATTTAATACATCTCTTGCCATTCCCCATTCTTTACCTCAGTCTTTCTGAACTTTCCATTTAGCGAACTGGTGCATTTGTTTATGCAATCATCCATTTAGTCCTTTGCGTTTTTTTTCCTACAAGCATTTATTAAGAGCTTACTGTGTATTATACACTGCTGAAGATGCTGAAAACATAGCAGTGTTCAAAGATAGAGGCAAAGAGCCGGGTGTTGGTAGCTCACGCCCGTAATCCCAGCACTCAGGAGGCTGAGGCAGGAGGATCATTGCAAGTTCGAGACATGCCTGGGCTACAAAGTGAGCTTAAGGCCAGCGTGAACTGCATAGGGAGACCCCGTCTCAAAAAAGACAGAAAAAAAAAAAAAAAAAAGATAGAGGCAAAGTCCCATTCAGCATTCATGGGAGTAAAGGAATTAGACAAACAGTAAATCAATTAAACAATATTTATCATCTGTGCATGAAGCAATAAAACAGGGTGATGGGCTAGTGTGAGACTGGGGGACACAGAGTAGCGCTTTAGTTCGGGTGGCCAGGAAAGGCTTCTGTAAGAGGATGATGTGAAGTTGAGGCTTAATTATCACAAGAAAGTCAGATGTTTGAGACTACAGTACATCCTTTAGATCTTGGCCAGTATTTGTCTCATATCCTTCTTCCCTGACCTCAAGGTGATAGATAACCTTCTTGTAATCCTCTCTCATTACTTCATTTTTCATTACTTCCTTTATCAGACTATGAGCTCCTTGAAAATGATAAGCTTGTTTATCAGTGCCTGGCAAGTAGTAAGTGTTTAGTTAATAGATAAGCACATGGATGTTCTATCTGGCTGTGCATGTGAGCAGATGAATGGGTAAACAAAACAGCTATGAAGCTTGTACCTATAAGAGTTCAAATAAAGGACCCGGGTG